AGGACCTGGGTTTACCTATTTCTGGATGATTTTAACAGCTAGGAAATTGTTCAGGAGGAGATAAATGGTTAGCACATCAAATATGTGCATGGGCCAATAATTTATCAATAATGTGAGTATTTGCTAATTTGGTAAGTTGTGTGGTTGAGGTTATTTGATTACTTCATGACTTCTCTTGTTGCTAAGATATTGAATTGTGGTTTTTACTTTTTCAGGAGAGTTGTAAACTACTGATATTCATCTACTGGTTTTTGTTGTTTTATTTTCTTCTGTTTGTTTCTTACTAGTAGTTTTTACCTCCAACTTTATTTTATTTTATTTTATTTTATTTTATTTTATTTTATTTTATTTTATTTTATTTTATTTTATTTTATTTTATTTTATTTTATTTTTGGAAACTCCAACTTTATTTTTAAAGTGATTCCTGTTAAATGAATTTGCACATTATTAGTTTTTCATTTTTGTCTTTTTAATGAGTAAATTGTAATAGAAAATAACTATTGTCTACTTAACAAACTTTAAGAATAGAAAGTTCCCTTCCAATACAAGAGTAATTAAGTTTTTTAAAGACAGTTTTTAAAATCTGTACTATAGGACTGGGTCTTCAAAATGACAAAATAACCAATCATCAACTTGGTGAAAAAATTGATATTTAGAATGAGTCAAGGAAAGCAACACAAGCCTAGTTCTTTAGCTGGGTTTCTTAACTTTTCATTTGATTGTGTTGGCATTGTGGATGCATAATTTGGATGAAAGATTTCTTGACCTATTAAGTTTTTATCACAATGAAGGATATATCTTAAACATAAGCATTTCCCTTGGCATCAACTGTAAGCAAATTTCCAGTGATATTTAAATGTAGGACTATAAAATATTTCTACTGGCATTTCCTTACTACTTAGCAGCTGTTCCAACTGCCTCCAAACATCTAGTAAGTAAAGAGAGATTTGTTTAGTAATGTAGATTAATAGGAAAGCAATCACAAGGCTGGGAACAAAAGTTTCAGGTGAATACAAGCACCTTGGTTCCTAGTTGGAAAACTGTATAAACACAGGTTTTCAGTAAGAATGTTAGCCTTCAATTGAATTCCATAAAGTATATTGAATGTAGCTTAACATGTTTAATTTCAGACATCACCAGCAGTAATCAGATAGGGATTTCAGAAAACATTTTATTCCATTTCCATGGAATTTCCATTTTACTAGCTATAATCTCAAATATGTAAATGGTAGCCAAAGCTGGATATGATGCTTCAGTTAAGAATTTTTTTTTTTTTTTTTTGCCCATTGTTTCTTCTAGCATCTTCTTGCCAAATCTTCTGGAGCGCTTGTAATTTCCTCTGTACAGAGCCCAACAGGCTCATCAGCAGCAGAAGGTAAACATAATAGATGTGAGGAATTTCTGGAGATTTATGAGGTTTAGTTTTCTTGAAATGTACACTCTGTCTGGCTATGCTAGTACACAGCCACATGTGGACTCTACAAGTTGAAAATGTTATAAATGGGGCGTCACTTACCCCTTGTTAAGAATAAGGTTTAAGAACAAAAGATGTTTTCTGTGAGCATATTTAAAGATTACATTGCTTTTTAAAGATAGCAATACAGTGGAGATGGAAAGAAATAGTGAATACTTGAAGCCTTAAATTTTTAATCTTGGAATTCAATATGGATTCATTTTTGTTCTTAATTCAGTATATTACATTTTTATCTTTCTGTACCTTCTTAAACCTTTCTGCTTTCCATTTATAATATTGGGAAACAACTGGATATCTGTACAAAATATCCCAATAATATCAGACAAATTCTAATGAAGACTATCGACATTGCTGACATTTGGCATGATGTCCTGCCAGAAAGGAAATTAAAAAGTACAAGCCATTTTCTGAAAGACCTTCTGTTTATGAAAATCGTTAATTTCACATCACTTTGTTGAGAGTAAAAACAACCCCTAGTGAAGGACAGAATATGCCTCTCTCATAATCGTAATAGTTTCATTGCTTGTTAAAACGATTCTTTAACTTTTTAAGGGAGTCTATTGATATTAATTAATCAACTCTCATGCTATAAACATTTCAAGTACTAAAGTGCAAGTTATTCTTCTCTGCTAGGCATTTCTCTACGTCTTTTCTTTTACATATATCTTGCTAGAAGAGGCTAGCACACCATTAGTAGAAGCGCATAGAAAGGCCTCTTATTCCTGCCATTGTTTACCAGTAGGGTTGCCTGATGGAAGGGCTTATAATCATGGATGCAATTTTGTCATGGCCTCACGAAATGGCATCATTTTCAAGGACTTACATAAATGATAGCATGAATCTTATAGAGATAATTATTACTAAGAACATCACTTTAACCTGAATCATCTTCCACAGAGTGCTAGAAAAGGGAGAAAGGTAGTCTTTTATCAAAGGCATGTTTTAATGAAAGCTCGTCTGACTTTGGAGATAAACAGCACGCGACGTGTTGTTGCATGAGATGCATTTAAAATAAAAAGAATTTTG